GGTGAAGGACATTTTAGTCTCTGAATAAGGAAAAGCTCAACAGAAGGAACTTCCCTACTTAATGGAACATGATAAATTCTCTGAGTCTGTAAAGGTTATATAATGGGTTGACATAATTTTATGTACTCCCCAAACTTAGAAACAGTTTCCTGCTGCATTTTAAAGAGCTATAAGATGTACTACCTGCAATATACATGCCTCTTTAGTTGTCAGCCTATTTCAAGAGCATATAATTGTTCAAATGCTTTGGGTTAAGTTTTATTACTGTTGTGTTATAATTATGCCAAGTGCTGGAGTCAGGAGTGACAGCCATTGAGGCGCCTCAATAAGGTTTTTTATGTCACTGTCACTTCAGTTCAACCTTGAAGCTGATGAAAAGATATTCTCACTCTCCTAACTTAGCTGAAAAACATCTAAATATGTAATTTGTAGCACTATGCTTGTTTTAATCAGATCACCTTGGAATTCAAGTTACATACAGCTTTTAGCAAGATTTTCCTTGCTAGAACTTTCAAGATAAAAGCATAAGGGGTCTGATGCCAATGTTGGATTGAGCTCCTACATCAATCTAGGATGTACCAGTTAGATATTTTAGAGCTATATTCATTCTGAGGGAGAATTCCTGATCTGGGAGAGTGTTCTGCCCTAGGACCACAGCACTAGAGGTCAAAAAACATACCAGATGACACTTTCTTCTTTAAATTTTTGTTCATTACATCCAAAAAGTGGGCCTCTTTTCCCTTCTTTGACCACAGCTTAGCTGTGGGTAGGTTAGGGAGGATAGAGGCATAAGTGACTTTTCCTCTGATTTATCTAATAGGTGCTGACTGGACTTCCACATACTGGATGGTAGGAAAAGTTATGTATGTGTGTATACTTTGTATGCACCTTATATATGCATATATGCTTAGTGCGCATACACACACACATATAGTTGATTAACTGAACAGGTAAGAATTATTCTTCAGCATTAATTGGCCAGCTTATAGAGCATCTTTTGGAGAACAAATTAGCAGGCTCAACCAAATTGGAAATGTATATAACCTTTGACCAAACAATTTCAACTCTAAAAATCTATCCTACAGAAATCTTTGGACATACTTAAAAACCTATGACCATTCAACCTTTTTTGTAACATCAACAATTTGCAATCAAATGTCCATCTAGATTGTGGTACATTCTTTCTATCAAATATTATATGGTCACAAAAATAATGGTATAGATCTCTATGTTGAAGGATATCTTCAAAACATATTGATAAAAGGAATATGCAATTCATCAAGCAATATGTATAGTTTGACCCCACTTATGAAAAACAAAAAAGCAAGTAGCTACCCTTTATGTCTGTACAAAATATTGTGAAAGGAAGTTTAAAATATTATTTGAGAAGAGAGGAATTAGGCAAGGAGTGTTGAAAGGGAATAATTCTTTCTCTATACTTTTATGCTGAATTATAAGATTGTATATATGTATTACTTGTTTAACCAAACAGAAGGAAAAATGAGTTACTTGCAAGATTTCTTTCTGAGTAATTGTGATCTATTTAAGTAGTGAATACCCAAATTGGAACATGGTTAAAAATAATGAAAATTACATGCTAAAGTAGAAGGTACTGATAGAATAAAAAGGTTGCTATTTAAGCTTGTAGCTTTGCAATGTATATTAAAACATTTTTCATTGAAGTGCTATTTATTGTAGAGTTGAAAAATTTGATACTTGATTATTCTCAGAATAATCTATACCTGTATTTTATGAGTGAGCAATTGTTTATTTAGCCACCTGTAGTGGGCTCAATGGTGGCTCCCCAAAAGATATGTTTAAGTGCCCATCCATAGAACCTGTGATTATGATTTTATTTGGAAATAGTCTTTGAAGATGTAACTAGATAAGGATCTTCCTTGATTATCTAGGGGGGTCCTAAGTTCAGTGATGAGTATTCCTATGAGAGTTGGACAGGGGCAGATTTTATAGACAGAAGAGAAGACACAAACACAGAGAAGAAGGCCATGTGAAGTTGGAGACAGAGACTGGAGTGAGGCAGCCAAAAGCCAGCTAAGATACGAAGCCGCCAGAAGCTAGAAAATGTGAGGGAGGAATTCCCCTCGAGCCTTCAGGAGTACAGCTCTATGGACACCTTGATTCTATACTTTTGGCTTCTAGAGCTGTGAGAGAGTAAATTTCTATTATTTTAGCTACTGGGTTTATGATAATCTGTTACAGCAGCCACATGAAACTATGGTGCCATACATCTCCTAAATAAAAATGTGATAGGTGTAACATGCAGAAGAGATCTGAGAACTTTAAAACTTAAATTATTTCAAATTTCCTCTTAAAAAAGAGTTGTAACATTGACTACCAGAGGAATGAACATGATTCTGTCTGTTTCCCCAGAACCACTGGCTGTTAGAAGACTCCTTGGGGACCATGTAGTCCAGTGGCCATACACTGAAGAGCCCGTAGGTGTCAGGAAGGAGTCCTAAATGTCGGCGCTGGGCTGGGTTAGGGTAGAAGTGAGTGGTGAATGGCAGAAAAGTGAAGCGTCTAGTCTACTCAAGGCACTACAAATCAAACAACTAAGAACCCTGGTGAAGGCAAAAGGAATATATCTTTGTCTGGCTGCCTGTGTGCCCATGAAAAACCTGGGGATCTGCTACCAAGGTGAAGAAGAGGAGACGGAGACTGGAGGACAGTGTCTGTCACCGCATCTAACCAGCCACTGAGCTGCGAGAGTCATCCTGGGTCCTCCCTGCTCGGGAGTGTGGTTCTGCCTCTGATTCTCTTTATCTCTGCTCAGTGGAGTGGTAAGAAACTAAGATGTATTGATTAACGAGTGTTGGACCCCATGCCAGGTTCTTTCAGATACGTAATTTCATGTAATTCTCACAACAGCCCTGTGAGGTTGGTAGGTTCCTCGAGGGTGGGTAACTTGTGTAAGGTCACTCAGCTAGTAAAGCAGAACCTGCAGGCCATGGAAATCATGCTGCTTCCTAGAGGTAAAACTGCATCCAAAGGATAGCACAGCAAGCTGTAAGACTTTAAGGGAAATATGAATATGTTTTGTTTCCAAAGATAGGTCAGTTATTTTTAATAGTCATATTGATTTTGAATGTGCTTGAATTACAAAAAATACTGTTTCTGTAGTGATACAATTACCTTAACTAATTTTTTCTATTACATATGATGTTGGTTTTTCTGTTATCTGTTTAGTTTTGTAAGAATTTCCTTTCTCTTAATAAATCCAAGACAACAGCCTACTCTAAATTTTTTTCTTTAATTATTCTCCATTTGCCAAAATTATCAAATAACTTTTGGAATGTGATCAGATTTCCTCTGCACTTGCTAAACAAAATAATTATTTTGTATATCTTTCTTTTCATTTAAACAATCCTACCTTTAGTAATTCTGTCTTTTGGATTTTACACATGCTTAAATAACAAAGTTTGGCTGTGCTAGGAGACTGTCATTTGTTTTCATTGACGCATGGGGAAAATGCACTTTAGGTGATATATTTTGTGAAAGAGTCTTGCCTGTAGTCATTATGACAAATGACATGGGAATTTTCTAGTGTTTTTTCCTTATTTAGTTAACCAGTAAGTATTTATTCATGATCTTTACATGCTCAGCATGTTACTTGTAGACCATTTTAGGTATTTTAAAAGAAATAAAGAAATATAAAATATGACTCCAGTCTTTAGAAGCTTGCAACTTAGCTATGAAAAGAAGACTAACAAATGAAGAATCAGAGATGCCAATGCCTAATTGAGCATTAAGAACTCCTAAAGAAGTTAGAGAAGATTTCACTGAGATTGTAGAATTTGAGCAAGACCTATAAAACTGGTAAAATGGAGGAGCTGAATAAGAATTTGTTGTTGTTGTTAAGAAAAAAGAATTAAAAAGGTAAATGTAGAAATTTGTCCATTTGGGGAGCAGTGAATGGATTAACCTCACTAAAGAGAATAAGGACAATAAGGAATAAGGGGAATAAGAAATTAGGCACGCTAACCAAATGGGAAAATAGTAAATGCTTTGAAAGTCTATCTACGGAGTGTAGATTTGAAAGTGATAGATGATAATGAATCCTCTTGTGCTGGAAAATGAAAAGATATGGGAATTTCTACAAGAGACTGATCATCAATACATGTGTCAGGTTAGAGTAGAAGCAGGGTCAATGTTAGGTAAGGAAATAGAGCAGCTAAAACATTGCTGTGTTAATCTAGGGAGGGCTTGGACTAGGGTAGTAGTAGTTGGAATGGACAGAATAAGGCAAGTTCTTCAAAGAGACTTTGAGGGAAGGAGCAATGAGCCTTAAAGAATGGCGATGCCTGTAGGTACCTTGAAAGGATGTAATATGATCACATAGGGAAGGAAATGAAGATTCACTAGTGTGGCCAGAGAAAAGATGAAAGTGGTAAGTGCATGACAGCCCCATCATACTAGAGCAAGGAAACCTGAGAGACGAGCTTAGAGAACACTCCACCCTGAGGAACCTAGAGGAGAACAGGAATGGGAAATTTCTCATAAAATTTTATGAAGTTGCAAAATTTCATGAGTTTGTAACGTGGAACATTATAAGATATTGAAGAATATGTCTGAGTAAAAGCCAAGGTCATCAACTTAGCAAGAAGAGATCAGGGTAATCTTCAAGGAAATAGTCTATGGAATGGTACGCACTGAAGTAGATGGTAAAGAGAATAAGAAGAAGTTGTAGAAGTTAAAAAGAGGAAAGAAGTAGATCACATATTTGAATGGGATGGTTGCAAATCCAGGGAGGAGCATCGGTGAGTAAGCAGACTAGATAGGCAGGAATAAAAGGATGTTAGCATGACTACTGCCTGAGGTAGCCCTCACTGATCTTCATTTCCTGCTCTTCACAGCCTTGCACACTTCCTTCTCACATGGAATGGTGCTGACTTGTGTAACAGTATAGTGTGCAAATAATGGTGTGTGACTTCTGTGCCTAAGTCATAAAAGACATGTGGCTCTGCCATGTTCTCTCATAGGTTGCTCCTGCTGGGGGAAGCCAACTGTCGTGTCACGATTAACACTTAAGCAGCTTGTCACGAGGAACTGCAGCTTCCTTCCAACAGCTGACACCAGGTTAGTGAACTATCTCAGAAACAGATCTCACAGGTCTAAGCAAGCCCTCAGATGTCTGCAGACCTGGCTGACATCCTGATGGCAGCCTCCTAAAAACCCTACATCAAAACCACCAGGTAAGACACATCTGAATTCCTGATCCACGGAAACTGATATAATCAATGTTTATCATTTTAAGATGCTAAGTTTTGGGATGATTTGTTATGTGATGCTGGATAGCTAATATAGATTTCTTTAGATATTTTCTTTTGTGTTTGTTCATCTTTCCTGTTTTGTTTTTCTTTTTGACTGGTAGAAAACTCAATATGTTTTTAAGGCCCTTATGGGTATTGGACTAGTTCAAGAGGATAGTATAAAAAAGAGAATTGCAGCACTAAGCTCTGAGCAGCTGGAAGATTCAGGGGCTAAAATAAAGCTGGGGAGATGATTTTTGAAAAGCATAAGTACCCCATTTTCAAAGTAATGGGAAGTTCAGAGTGGGAGTAGATTCCATTTCATCCTGAGACAGATACAAGAATGCCTGAAACAAGTCACATGAAGCCAGACCAATTTACTGGTTTCTTTATGTGTACATGACCCTAAGCATTCACATTTTTATCTGAATAGGCTAGTAGGTGATCTATTTACCCATACTTATACATTTTCTGTGGTGGTGCACTTTTTAAGATAGTGAAAACGTTAACTTCATTCCTCACAAAGGTCAGGAATCAGCTAAGTGATTAATTAAATGCATGTGTAACACTTCATAATGAAACAACTTTACTTCTGGCTATCTCCCTATTTTTTCTTCAGAGATTGCTTTTTTCTTTTTTTTTTTTTTTTACCCTTCTTTACTTATTATGACATCAGGGAGGTTTGTGCATGAACTCTATAGGTCTTCTTTACTATCCGAAGGTCAAATGGACTTTTGGACTTGTGGCTTTGTTCTAAAAGGTTTACTTGACTGTTAGTCTAATAAAGGGGTTTGAAGTGCAGTAGAGGTGCGATTGCCAGGATTTGGTTTGTGAACTGGTTTTGACCCTGTACAGGTTCTCAGATTCTGCTGTAAGCTCTTTGGTATGTATCTTCAGGGAGGGAACATTCATTTTTTTTTATTGCATTAGTCAATATTGCTTGAATGTAATCCATTTGTGGGGCTCTACAAAGACCTCTAAAGACTGAAAAGATCAATGAGAAAGAATCTTCTTTCCTCCATTAGCTTGTAGTTGAATACCATGGCTATAAGCAAAAGTGGGCTGGGTGTCAGAGGAAAGATAGAGGAACAAGAGTGTGTGTATGCCCTGAATGTCTCATATGATTATTGCATATCTGAGTTCCAATAACCTTGCTCTTTGGGATGAGATGAAGAAATGAGAGTGTTTGTCAGCATTCTGACATATATTCACATGCAGCGCTTTGGCATATGAAATACGGTTACTGATGACCAAGATGGCCTTAACATTCCCCTCAGCTTGATTAAACTTTAGTTTTCTTCCTTATTATAGGCTCCTGATCTCCCTTTCCTTAGAGCATTTTCTTTAGAAACTCAAAATTATGCATTCTTTTTCTGTCCCTTTGAAATGTATGTTAATCTCCCAGCCTCTAGCCAATTTTACAATCTAGGAGATATTTTTCTAAGGAATTGAGAACCATCTCTTTGAAATGTAAGCAACAAAAGAGCACCCCTACCTCCCAGTCTCTGGCAGAGAGTAGAAGACTAACTTTGGGTACCAAGTAGCAAACCCAGATGGCTTTTCACAGAGAAAAGCATGCGGGAACTCAGGAATAACCCCTGTTGCATTGACATACCCATTCCCTAAGTTCCTCCAGTGTCTTGCTAGCTCACTCAATTACTTAAAAATCCTGCATTTTGTTTCAGCAGAGTTGAGTTCAGTTTTTCTCTCCTATAGCAATAGCCTGAATAAGGTCTTCTTTGACTGCTTAGCTTGGTGCAGATTTTGCTCTGGCACCGGAAATCCTGATGTCATTTGGCCTTGTACAACTTAATGAAGATAGAATTTAGAAAGGATCTCCTTAATCTAGCCTCTTTGATGTGATAAGAGACACAAATAAAATACCCAAATAAGGTATGGGGTAAGAATTTTCAGGGATCTGAAAACTGAATAGTGGACATTATTGCAAATTGATAAAAGACAGTTTATGCTTAGATGATGCTTGGACAACATGGTGGTTAGGGGTGTGGACCCCCTGTGCAATTGAAAATCTGCATATAACTTTTGATTCCCCCAAAACTTAACTACTAATAGCTACTAACAACTATTGTTGACTAGAAGCCTTACTGATGACATACAGTCAGTTAACATATATTTTGTATGTTACATATAGGCTATATATTATATACATTTTCCAGCATATTAATTGGAAACAACCCACATATAAATGGACTTGTGCAGTTAAATGGACTCCTGCTATTCCAGGGTGAATTGTAATAATTTGGTTGGGAAAAAAAAAAGCAATATTCACAGAAAGGTATATGATGAAGAATGAATGTGTCCCCTATTCCTCTTCCCTAGTCCCACTTCTCAGATATGGGTACTTTTAACTATTTGTTTTTAACTCTTGTTATTATGATAATGCAGTAATACACTTACATCAATGTTTCTTAATTTATCAACTGTTGGTATTATTTAACTATTTCCCGTAAAAGCTAAGGTAATTAATGCGTTTATATGCCTCCTTCTTCTCCCTGCTATACACACTCCTGGTTTTCTTATATGTTATTATAGAAAGAAGCTCTTTTCAGAGTTATTGTACTGAAACCTTTTGCACTTAATTTTTAAACCCCTTTTCTTGATCTAAGTCTCGATCTGACAAAGTAAAGATTAGTGGTTCTTAAACTTTAAAGCATTTATCAAAATCACTTGGAGGGTTTGTTAAAACACAGGCTGTTAGGCCCCATGCCTAGATTGTGATTCAGCAGGTGTTGTTAAATTAAAATTTGTTAAGTAGAGCCCCCCCACGGTGGGCTGTTGGGCTATCAGAGGTGAGACAACGCTCAACAAAAGACTACAAAGGAATTGAAATAGAGAAGTTTGTTACTTACAAGTCCTGGAAGAATACACGGTATGCCTGGAGCGACCACAAGGGGAGGTCGAGGCAGGGTGCTGGCAGAGAGAGCAGGCAGGACCCAGGCACATGCCCGTATTCGGGTCTGCAGTGGAGTGCTTTGGGAATCCTGGGCTGCTAAACTGGTCACTTCAAACTAAAAGCAGTAGGTTTTGGTAAGCTTCATGAGTATTTTTTATCTAAGGGGCACACAAGGGGAAGGCCCTGGGCAGCGGGGAGAATGCTTATCACAAGGGTGGTTGGGGAAGTCGTATCAGGAATTTACCTTTATTGTGACCCTGTAGGCTGTTATTTAGGGCATCTCGTCGGAGAGGGACTAGTGTCGGTTCAAGGCCCCTGCAAGCCACCTAGCCCCACAAAATGGATGCCAGGCCACAGTACCATGGAATGGCTTACCTAAACAACAGCAGGTCTGGCGTCGGGCCTGAGAATGTGCATTTCTGGTAAGTTTCCAGGTGATGCTAATCGTCGTGCTTGTTTAGGGTCCACACTTGGAGAACTATTGCTTTAGGTAGTATTTATTGAGTCATCATTATAAAAGGTGAAGAAATTTGTGGATCTACCCTTCTCTTTCCTCTTCATTCTTCGAATTGCACATCAACTTCTGTCAGACCATTACTTTGACACTTGTTATTATAATTACACTTTCTTTTCTTTGCAGATAGCTGATTCAAAAATTTGAAAACCAATAAACAATATTTACAAAATAATAATTAGGTTAAATAGTGGTATTTGATACAGACAGAAGAAGCAGATATATAACAGGACCAAAATCATTAATGTTTTGAGCATCTCTTTGTCATTCATACCTTTTCATCTTCAACTATTGGCTCTGGCTTGGCCAATGGCATTTCTTTTCCTCCTCCATTTACTGCAGAGTGATTCAGGGTTGCCAGACTGGTTTAGGGGCCTTGTGATACAGAAACTGGAGGAAAGGAGAAGAGTCTTACAGTCGAGGGTGTGGGGAAGGCTGGGAAAGGGCTTGGGGGAAACTTTGGAGAGAAGGAACAAATAACTTAATATGTCAGGGAACTGGGTGGGAGAATTCACAGGGATTTGAGAAAGTGTTGTTGTCTCTATTGATCTTCTAAAGGGTACAAGAAATGCAAAGAAAGATTCTGACTGTGACATTTTTGGTACAGCTTTTTTTTTCTTTCTTTTCTGTATGTCTCTTTTGTTGATGAAAAGGTCAAGTGATTTTTATCCTTTTATTTTTTCAAATCTTTAATAAACACAATTTACTGAAATTTAGCTTCTTTCTATATACACTACTCACAGGGAACTCTGAATTCCTTTTCTCATATTTTATTCTGAAACTCTTGAATGCATAGAGATGTAGATATTTTCTCTTAGAAATCACTTTTAGGAATGCATAAAACAGGAAATTGTAAGTGTAATAAGTTGGGTAGTTTAATAATTTTTCTTTAGGTCTCAGGGCCCTTGTATACACCTAAAAATTATTGAGAATCCCAAAGAACTTTTATGTGAATTTTATCTATCAGCATTGTACTTTCCTAAAGGCAGCCATTGTATGTCAGAATGTAGTAAAATACTTTCATGTGTAATTCCCCCTATTTAAACAGAATATTTAAAAGATGTGTGCCAAAGAGTTAAGATAGCAATAATTTCTACTACTTTCAGGATATTTTTAAATGAAATTAGATTTCCTCCTTTATTTTTTTGGTACTTTCTCAGAGTATAGGGGTGAAAAATATGAGCACTGGTATTTCTTGGTACCATTTGATTCATGTGGATTTGCCAGCAGTGTTACCCATGATTGCTCTTGGACCATTAGTATACATTTCAATGTAGTGAAAGAAGGCAAATAAAAATTATGGAAGAAGGCAAATACAAATTTTTACATTAAAAATTGTGAAGATTATTTTTACCTTGCACACCCCTAAAAGGTCTCAGGGACCCCTTGAGAACTTCTG